CAAATCATCCAGCACTCACATCCAACTACAAAATAGTAAGACTCAAATGGGTTTTAAGCCATCTACTGCCTACAACTCACAATGGGGACCCAAAATTTGTAGACATGTAGCAGGTAGTGCACATAGATGAGAAATAGTTCTACTTGAACCCAGAGACAAGAAGATTCTACCTCCTCCCAAATGAACCAAACCCTTACATGTGCCAACAGTCCAAGAGGTTCAAGGTCAAGGGGATGTTCATGGCAGCCATAGGGAAGCCAATATTTGACACCCATGGAGGAGTCTTACATGATGGGAAGTATGGCATATTTCCTTTTGTTTATGAAAGCACTGCAAAGAAAAAAAAGCAAAAACAGAGATGCTAGGGTAGTGGAAATAAAGGCAACACAGAATGTGAACAAGGAGGCCAACAAGGAAATGCTCCTAACTATGGTCATTCTAGGCATCAAAAGTAAATGACCAGCCCATCTATCAAAGGATGTATGGATTCAATGGGATAATGCCAGACCTTATCAAATTCCCAGGGATGAGGAATTTAATGAAGCCTGTCAGTCAAATGGTTTCAATATACAGTTCATTTACCAGCCAGCTCAATCCCCAGATTTAAATGTGCTAGATTTAGGGTTGTTCAATGTCATACAGTCAATACAATACCAATCATTTCCTAAGAACCTAAGGGAACTCATAGAGAAGGTGACAGAGGCTTATGAGTTGTTCAATCCAGTGTTGAACAAGCACTGTTGGATAACTCTACAATGTTGCATAGAAGAGATACTGAAGGACCAAGGAGGGAATAACTTCGCCCCACCACACAAAGGGAAGAAAAGGCTAGAAAGACTGGGCATGCTACCAGAAGTGCTACAAGTGTATAGGGTTGTGGTTTAACAAGCTGTTGAGTACCTCAACACAATTTTCATATCAACAGGTGAGGTCAATGATGAAGATGAAGGCATGCATGTGGATGCAGACTAAACAAAACTCAAACACAGGAGCAAGGACCAAATCAGACTGCCACACATAACCAGTGACTAGCAAGGTAGTTAATGGAACTCATAGTTTAGGTATTATCTTTTGTTTGTATTCTGATTATTGTGTGGGACTCATTGGTTAGGTGTATTTTGTTAACACATCCATGTTTACTATCAATGTAAGGCAGTCTTAACTACTACCATTTCAACATGTAATAGCTTTTAATAACCTTTATGACTTCAATTGTGTCTGGTTTAATTCATTTTGAACAATTGATGACTAAATGACAGTAAGTATGATTGACACACACATAAATGAGTCCATCAGTAGGGTTATGATTTCTCACAGAATTTGCATAAGTGGTTCCCTCAACAACAACTTACAAAGGAAGTTGTTGGAGCAATACCATCTTATGAAATTTATGGATCAAATGAGTCCCTTCATCATTTGGATCTCTCAGCCACATAAAAAACAGTAAGGGGCTCTTAAATCACATGGGGACAGAGATCTCATAAGGGGACTCAAAGAGGGGCATGCATGTATGCCATAAGGTCATCATCATTCATCAAATGACAATACAGTACATTAACCAAATCAAGCAAACAATTTGACAGAAGTCAAACATGAAACAACACTTCCAACAGGAGAAGCAGCACCCACACATCAACAACACCAACCCCAACATAACACAAACCAGGAAAAACCAACATGTGAACAACAGTATCCAACAAACATAGCACAAAATTTCCCAAGAATAGGCAGTCAATTATCCACCCATCAAAATACGACAACATGAAAAAACAATCCCACCATTTGGCAACAAAATCACACAATTCCAGTAGTAACAGCCCATAAACAAACCAACAACAAACAACAATTACTACTCATAAGTGAGACAATCGCAAGAATAGCCAAATTATGACAATTACAAAGCAAATCAGGCTTCCAAAAATAACCAACAAACAAAGCACATACGTAAAGAATATTATGAACTCATGAATAAAAAAATTTCCTTTTCTGGCCAGATAGAACTTGGGTACCCAGATCTACCACCTCTGTTGCAGGTTTCGCTGGCGAAATGGAAGCAGAAGAGGTTTCAGCACCATCGCCCTTCAAACCATCAAAATCTGGAGCCTTTTTGCTCGAACCCTCACCCTTTTCCCCTAGATCTGAAGCCTTAGACCCACCACGTTCCTCATCAGACACGTATGGGGCAAGCTTTGCACCACCACCATATTTACGCTTCATATCAAGGTAAGTTTCCATACGTGTACCAATCAACCTTATCTTCCCAGTTCGTCGCTGACACTTGTATGTTGCAACGACTTCCCTTTCTGGTGATTTCTCGTTTGGGGAACTCATAGTTTAGGGTTTTTAACAGAAAGAGGTAGTAGAGCACTAAGATTTGGAAATTTTAGGGTATTCACCAAGAGAGAGAGTGAAGTAAACAGATCTATTATGGGAGAGGAGAGAGAGTGAGGTACGCCAGAACCAAAGCACAATTGAGGTGAGATGGTGGAATCTGGAAAATTTTCCATAGGTAAAGAGGGCTCGTTAATGGAGGTAGTTGAAGGTTGCATTGAAGAGGGCGGGTGAGAGGACGAACTCAATCAGATGCAATTGATGAAAATCTAGAAAGGTGAGGGTTTTTATTTTGTGGGAATCATTAGGGTTGATTAAATAAGAAAAGGGGAATGACAAAGGGTTAGCAAATTAGGTTAACAATTAATTAGTTTTTAACAAGGGTATTTTCGTAAATCTACAGGGTTAAATTTTACTAAAAAAGGAAAAAATTCAATTTGTTGCAAATAATAGATAGCGCCTATTTATAGTAAATGTTGCAGATAACCGTTAACAGAGGAAGTATATAATTTTTATATTGTATATATAGAACTGTAGAAAAATGGTCGCAATCTGACCGGATTCTAGTAATGATTCTATTGTTGAGTTCGAATATATCCCTTTTTGAGGATGATTGTTCTCCTAATTTAGATAAATTTGAAATTAATGATAAATTAAATATTTTAATATAAATTGAGAGAAATTCAGGTCTCTTTCGTGGTTGAAGAAATGCAAAAGAAGAGGCATGACGATTTTTGAAGGCTGATAAAAAAAAAGCAAAAATGAAGCAATTCCTCTCAAATAAAGTCTCAAGAATTAAACTAAAATCTTAAATTCTTAATACGAAATATGAAATATTTAATTTAATTATTTTCCTTGTTGCACCGGCAACGCGGCGGCTAGAAATTGTAGTGTACGTTAAGAACTCAAGTATTTCGGTCAATCAATTTTAAATTCTGGCATTTAATAGCCTTTTTCCACAGGCCACGTGAAAAAATGACAACATCTCACAAATCTTTGACAATTCCTTACAAAAAACAATTGTAGCACCAAAATTTCCTGATTTATCATCCTAACACCTTGTTTTTCTTATCGTATTCCTTTGAAGATTAAACTCCGTATAACTTTTGGAATAAAAATACAGTAGAATAATTATATAATGTACTACCACACAAAAATCTTGCTTTGACAATTCTTACAATTATCATGACTAATGCAATTGCACCAAAACACGGAATGAACATCAGATTAGCCGCCTCTTAACTAAGATGTTTCATTCTTAAGTGAAAACCAGATTTACACCAACTTAAGTAGCACCCACATTATTACTGAAGATATCTAGAGCATAGGTACGACATATACGAACAATTTAAGGATTGGTATGATGCGGGTTAAATTGACATGTGTTGGATTTGAGTCCGTCGGGTATCTCTTTAGCTTAATTTTTTTTTTAATAAAAAAAATCTATCAAATTGATCATGACTCGGTCAATCCATATCATCTAAAATTTCGATAAAAGTCGAAGTTCAACATATCATTAAGAGCCAATGCTCTGAACATGGAATAACAAACTCAAAACATCTAAGGACACCAATTTATGTGATATGACAATAATTACGAGTATGCCCTTTCAATTTTTTAACCCATTAATTCATTCAGCAAAGTTATTGCACCTCACAAACAAGTTGCACGTACTATTTCAACACCAAATTAAAATGACCACTTTATCATTCATGACACCATCCCTCGTTGAAGACCTGATTTCTCCTATGAGAGCAATTATAATACTTGTAGAATATTGTTAATTAAAGTTTTATACAAAGAAGGTAACATGAATTGGTTATATACTTATATTAATGTTATCGGTAAAGTAAGAGAAAATATAGTAGGGACTAGAGGGGCTTTGTTAATTAAATTGAACAAAAAAATTTAATAGATGATCAATCCCACATGAAATTAAAATGTGGCCTTAATGTTAACAATGAGGTTTATGAGAAATGTTATCATAACATTTTGACAATTTATACATTACATGTAAGTTATAAGAACTACTCCTTGAAGAAATATACATAATATCCATTCTCAAAGATTCAACGGAGTTGGTTTTATAAATTTTTATCTTTTGCAACCCTATTACTTTAATTTACATACTTTCCCCTCTTACCCCACTCTATTACATTTATATGTCCACTTTCTCTTATGTTATCCACATACTATTTACTTCACGTGTGTTACTTCATATACATATTTTATTACTTATGATATTATAATATACCAACTCATTTCTATACAAGAGTCTAAAACTTACTATTTCAAAACAAAAAAAATTAAATAAATAAATAAAAAAGAATACCAGACTCTAAAACTTAAGGAAATATGTATTATAAATTTTACCAACAATTATTAAAAAATATGGAGTATTAATGATTAAAGTTTAGAGTTAACGGACATAAAAATTACTGTAATAACTAATAAGAACTTGTGTTGTTACATGTATTGAGAAACAACCCCTGCCAATCGAGAACATTATCATGTTATGCATATATAGCTCTTCATTGACTGCCTCTTGCTTTGACTATTTCTTCCATTCAGTATTATCACGTCTAGCGCAATAGTTGCAGCAGAACACGCAAAGAAAATCAGAGTAGTCACATCAGCCGCCTCCAAACTATATATAAATACCCCTCGTCATCTCTGCATTTCCTCACATCAAAAACTATCACACAATAATAATTACCAAAATATACCATTTCATCATGAGTCCTTTATCTGCTTCTCTTGTTACACTTCTACTTTCCATCATTACCATCACCCATGCAACCACCATCACCGTAGTCAACAACTGTGACTACACCGTGTGGGCTGCTGCCGATCCAGGAGGCGGCCAGCAACTCGCTAAAGGAAACACCTGGGACGTAAACCCTGCACCCGGAACCAAAATGGCACGTATCTGGGGCCGAACTGGGTGCAACTTTGATGGCAATGGCAACGGCAATTGCCAAACTGGAGGCTGTGGAAAACTAGTGTGTGATCCGGGCAATTGGGGTACTATCCCAAAGACTCTGTTTGAGTATGCTCTAGCACAACCCAATAATCCAACTGACACCATCGATATCTCCCTTATCGAAGGCTTCAATATCCCTATCTCTTTCACTCCCACTTCCAACTCCGGCGCACTTGATGGGAAGTGTCGTACAATTAGTTGCACGGCTGATATTAACGGGCAGTGCCCTCAGAACTGGAAGGTTCCGGGTGGATGTAACAGTCCTTGCACGACACAAGGGATCGGAACGTGTGGTGCTAATGGTGACTCTACATTTTACAAGCAAAGGTGCCCTGATGCTTACAGTTTCCCTGAAGATGATCAAAGCAGCACTTTCGCTTGTCCTTCTGGAACTAATTACAGGCTCACTTTCTGCCCTTGAACATTGATGAACAATTAACAAGGGTGTCATAATAAATTGATCCTTGCTTTTATTATTACTTATACATGTGATACTTCATACGCTACATGACATGTTGAATTAAAGTTATAGATTGATGGAAATTCAACTATATGTGTAATTAGCTAGAGCTATTCTTATAAGTTCAGCTCTAGAATTCTGTATTTTCAGCTGAAAATAACGATCATAATAATAATATCCAATGTTGTGTTTATTTATCCTTGTTTGTCTACTTTATACTTTTTTTTTTTTTGACAAGAATGTCTACTCTATACTTCGTCAATATATTAGAATGTTTTTTGTGCCATATGCAACCATTATTTTTCAGAAGATTTGTCAAAAAATAAACAAAATGTTATGCAGTTAGCTCAAAATAACTACCTCCATTTCGTATTATTCGCAACAAAAGAATATTTTATGTCTTACAAATAATACTCCTTTGTTGCGAGTAATGTGAAACGGAGGTAGTATAAGAAACCCTTTTAATTAACTAATAGTAAATTGACTTTTTTAGGGTATTTTCCTATAATGAATCGGGGTAATCAGTTGATTATTAGATTATTATTATAACACGTATCATAATATCATTGTTTCTCTTTTAATTTTTTTTTAGTAAAAATAGTTTTTTTATTTAATTGATTAAAAAAATTAAATACCCCTCTCTCGCTCCATAGCTGCCCCCACACTGCTCTCCCGCCGGCCAATTAACCATTCCAGAATACCCCTGCTTGCCAGCCGACCACTGCAGACCACCCAGCTGCAGGTTGTAGAACTTTTGACCTAACATGAAAAAATGCATTGAAAAGGTCTTACTTTTACTTAAGGATTAATACCATTTTTTAATCCCAATTTTGACCAATTTATTTTTATTAATCCCAACTTTGATATGGCCTATCATTCCTCATACCCAACCGGTTTCTTAACCTGTTGTACCAGGTCACTTGACACATGTCAAGTCCTGATTGGTCCAAAAATTTTTTTTTTAAAAAAAAAACCACATAAACCAGCCAACCACCTCCATCCCACCGCAGCCCCACCGCCTCCTCCCTAGCCCCCACCGGAAACCACCATCTCCCTCCCCAATCCCACCGAAAACTACCAAATTCTCCCAAAACCACCTGCAGCTTCACTCCGTTCCCCCAAAACCACCCGCAGCCTCACTCTCTTCCCCCAAGTCCACTCACAGCCCCCACCTTCGTTCTTCTCTTGAAACCACCATCAAGCCACCATTTTCACCCCTAACTTCTCCCGCAACCATTGAAACTCCAACCCCCTTCACCAAAACCCATTTCTAGCGGATCTAGGCGGAAAGAAGATAAGGAGGGAGGTTAGGGTAGTTTCGCAAGCGGGGAAGCAGGTGGGAGGGTGGTGGTTTCGCGGATGGTAGAGGGTTGGTTTGAGGCGATTTCGGGGGTGGGGGGAAGGGAGGGGGTAGTTTCGGGGGTGGGGGGAAGGAAGGTGGTTGTTTTCGTCGGAGAGGAAGGGGAAAGGGGAGGTTTCTGGCAAGGTGGCGGCAAATTCCGGCTGGGGCTAGGGGGATGGAGGTGGTTGGTAGGGAGGAGAGTTTTTTTTTTTTTTTTTTAATTTTTAATTTTTAATTTTTAATTTTAATTTTTAGTTTTTCTGTTTTTTTTTTAATTTATTTTAATTTTTTGAAGCAATTAACATGTGACACGTGTCTAAAGTTTTTTTTTTGAAGCAATTAACATGTGACACGTGTCTAAAAAAGAAAAAAAAAATTTAACCCTTTCATCAGGTTACCGGTTTTTGGGATTGAAGAATGATAGGCCACCTTAAAGTTGGGATTATTGAGGAATAATCCAAAGTTGGGATTAATAAAAATAAATTGGTCAAAGTTGGGATTAAAAAATGGTATTAATCCTTTACTTAATCAAAAGGTTGAATTATTTATTTTGAGCAAATCACGCAAAGATTAGCTTATTTTTGACAATTTTTCCTTATATTTTTTTTAATTATTAAAATAGAAAAGAAAAAAAATCTAAAAGGTTGTTAAATTATTCTTAATTGACTTATATGTTTAAAATATCAATATTTATTATTTATTACCAATAAATAGTTAGAAAAAATTTCCGGGAATAATCCCACCTTTTGAGCATCCACGATAAATAATCCTACCTTTGGGATTTTTTTTAATAATCCCACCTATACCCAATCCGCTCAAAATGGTCCCGGGTGACCAGTAACCGATTGAAGTGGTAATTTTTTTTATTAAATTTATTTTACACGTGTCACAATTTGATTTGTCCAAAATTTAAAAAAAAAGTAAAATCAATTAAAAAAAAAACCACCATCACCAACTAAGTTTCAGCCACCACCATCCCCACACACCACCCAAATCCAAGACCGCGGAACTACCACCCTATCCAGCCCCGAAACCATCGCCACCAAGAAACCACCGCGGCACCGTGCCGACTAGGATCCCACCCCAGCTAGCCCAACCCCAAAACCCCTTCGAAAAATCGCAACCCACCAAACCAACCCCTTCGAAAATTCGCAACCCACCAAATTGACTAGGAAACGGCGTGAATCGAGATCAATGGTGGACGAAGCAATCGGAATAGGGGATAGGGAAGACCAACGCGGCCAGAAAAGGGATGGGGGAGGGGGAGGGGGCTAGGATCGGGACGGGAAAGGGGTTTTCGAGGGGAGGGGGCTGGGTTTGATACGGGAAAGGGGTTTATCGGGGTCAGTCACAACGTCGTGTCGGAGCTGTCGTTGGGGGCTTGGTGGCCGGAGTAGTGGGCTGGGGATTAAGCTCAGGTGATAGTGGTGGTTAGGGGTGAGCAAGACCGGGTAATACCCGGATCCGGAACCGGTTATAACCGGGTCCCAAGAATTGGAACTAGTCTCGGAACCGGTTAATACCGGATCCAAATTTTTTGGAACTGGTCCCGGACCCGGTAGGAACCGGTTCCAAAACCGGGTACTCGGTATTATTCAAAGTAGTAAAATACTGTTTTTTTCTTTATAATTGTTATACAATATATTATTATATATAATGGAATTTTGCAGGCTAGTTATATTAACATAATAATATCCCTAAATTAGTTTTGGAGGCTAGCAAAATACAAATATTTCAAAATACAAATATTACAAACTAATAAGCCAAAAAGTACCAATTCAACAACCTAAAATATCATTACAACAAACTTCAACAATGCTGCAAAGTCCAAACAGCCAAACATAACCAAAACAACTACTTAAATAAAAGTTCAGACAAAAAAAGGGAAGAAAAGGAAGGGCAGCAACAGGCAGCAGCTAAGCACACCATCAGCAGGCAGCAGCTGAGCACACCATCAGCCAGCAACAAGACCAGCAGCAAGTCAGCAACTATCTAAGCAACGGAGAAAGACAGCATACAACAGACAACAAAGCAAAGAGGCAGCAGCCAACAAGGAAGCACAAATTCCCTATAAACAAAAGCCAAAATGTCCTTAGAATATTTGTCATTTGATATCTTTTCATACAATATAATTAAGAATACAATTATACAAACCTTTGTCACATCAATTATTTCCAACAAATTCATTAACTTGTGTGATGCTAGTGTCACTACCATCCAATTCTAAAAAAACAGTAAACAATATAAGTAATAAACTTAGAGAAATAAAATAGATAAATATACAAAATAATAGAAGTATTAGTGTATTACCTTCTTCATATTTTTCAACATCCTCAAGGAAGCGCTCAATATCAATGCATACATTTGACGCCCTTAACCAATCTTGAGTACAAACTAAAGCTTCCACCATATTTGGCCCCAAACTACTACGAAATTGATCAAGTATGCGACCCGATGTACTAAATGCGGATTCACTAGAAACCGTAGAAATTGGTATAGCCAAAATGTCCTTAGCCAATGTTGACAATACTTTGTATTTGTCACTTTTTTCTTTCCACCAACCCAAAATATCAAACATTTCCCCTTCAACCCTTCTCTCCCGAGCTTCTTCAAGATAATAATCCAATTCACTTTTTTCAACAATAAAATCACTTTCTTCCTCATCAAAATCATCATAAAACTTTTTCATTTGCTCACTATTCGAAGAGCTCAAGTTTTCAGAACCATTATCCACATTGGCAACATTAATATTACGATCATTCTTGGAAGAGGAAGAAGCAATAATAGCATCATAATGGTTAAATAACTTCTGAACATTGTCATACAAATTGTCACAAATAACATCGACTTTGGCAAAGTCGTTAGGATAAAGTTTTTTAAAAGGATACTTCAAAAACCTAAGCTTATATCGAGGATCTAAAACAACCGCAACTAACATCATGATATTAGTTTTACCGAGATCCCCATAATACTTATCAAACTTTTCCCTCATTTGTCTACCCATAATACGAATATCCATATTTGTAGAGTTTTTCCATTCTATCAAACAACTTAACACCTCCAAAACCTCGTGAAAATACAAGTTTGTAGTAACATATAAACTACCCGACATTTTCTTTGTAGACTCATAAAATAATTTCAAACACAAAGACAACACTTTAGCATTTACCCAATCTTCTTTTGTAGGTACTCCATCCTTGAGTTCCCTACTAAAATCAGGATCATCTTCCGCAAACCTATTAAAAGCTTTTTCAAATTTCAATGCGGTTTCAAGCATGAGAAAGGTAGAATTCCATCTAGTTGCCACATCAAGACAAACTGAACCTTTACAAGAAACTTTAACCAACATAGAAGAGTGTGCAAACAATTTAGCTCTAGAAGGTGAACTCCTCACATATCTAACAGCAGCACGAATTCGAGCAATCGAAGACTTCACACTAGATAAACCATCTTTCACAATCAAATTTAGAACATGACAAGCACATCTCATATGAAAAAATGAACCCTCCAAAACAAGTTTATCATGAAAATGTGTTTTCAAATATCCAACCGCCACATCATTTGAACTAGCATTATCAACAGTTAAAGAAAACAATCGATCCTCAATCTCCCATTTAAGAATACATGCCTCCACAACTTTTCCAATTTCCTTACCTTTATGACTATCCATTAATTGAAAATTTAAAATTCTTTTATGCAACTTCCAATTATCATCAATAAAATGAGCAGTCAAACAAAGATAATTAAAATTTTGAATGGAGGTCCAACAATCAGTTGTTAGTGACACTCTCGATTTCAAACACCCAATTAAGTTCTTTAATTTTCCACTTTCACAAACAAATATATTCTTCACAT